ACGCTTATTTTAGATATAAAATCATCAAATAACAACTAGCCTACAACACAACACAAACACTAACAACATCTACAACATATTTTGTGGAACATACACTACCGTTGAAAAGTTTGGGTCAGAAAAGTATTTTTTGTAAGATTTTTAAAAAAAAAAAGTTTTTTAAACAAATTCATACTTCAGGATGCATGACAGTACAAAACAAATATTTCAAATGTTGTTCTTTTGAACTTTCTATTCAAAGTATCCTGAAAAAAATGTTTTCCACAGTTTTCACAAAAATATTAAGCGACAGTTTCTTGAGCATCAAATCAGCAGTGATTTCTAAAGGATTTCTAAATCATGTGACTGGAGTAATGATTCTTAAATTAACAGGAATAAATTACATTTTAAAATGTTTTAAAATACAAAATGGCTATTTTAAATTGTAATAATATTTTAATAATATAGCTGTTTTTACTGTATTTTTTGGTCACATAAGTGCAGTGTTGGTGAGAATAAGAGAGAGAAAAAAAAAAACCTACTGACCCCAAACTTTTAACCGGTAGTGTGTGTACCTATGGCTTTTATTATATTTTTGCTGAAGATGTACAGTGTTCTATTCTGGGGAAACAGACCAAAAAACTACTAATCATGGTTCGTAACTGTGACTGTTCGTAAGCAATCCCTTCGATATCCTGCTCAAAACTTAATTTTTCTATAGGAAATACCTCATATTCACAACAGGAGAGAAAATGGATCTAGTCAAGATATTTTATGGGGTGTTCAAATTCCAAACGTTTTACATCATTAAATCAGATTTTTTTTTTGTCTTCTGGTGAAAGAAGGATATGACCATAAAAAAGAAAGGACTTTTAGGACAAACATATTTCGGGAATGCTGGTGCTCAATACTGAAAATGCATCGCCCAGTCTAGAACAATAGTCTAATTCCCATTACTGTCTATGCCTTCCATTCCACAAGTAACAACAGCAAAATGTGTACCGCTGCATTCAAATACTAATCCAAGCACACTTCAGCGATAATCAATGAAAAAACAAAAACATTTACAGACTCATATTCATTACACAAGCCATTATGCTACATCTGCAGTTGGATTGATGCAGCTCATTAAAGGGATAGTTCGGCCAAAAATGATATTTAAACCATGCATTACTCACCCTCAAGCCGTTCGAGATGCATATGTCAATCTTGTTTCAGACGAACACATTTTCAGTTATTTTAGAAAATGTCTTAGACCCTTCAGTGGATATAATGTGAAGCAATGGGGTCCACCTCCTTCAAGTCCCAAAATGTGCATATATCCTTCACAGAAGTAATCCATCCGGCTCCAGGGGGATAAACGAAGGCCTTATGAGGGTAATCCGTGCGGTTTTGTCGTAAAAATATACATATTTAAAACTTTATAAATGAAAATATCTGACTTCCGGCAACGATCGACGCACGTTCACGGGTTATGTTTTGCTCTGCTCTCTGGCTGCGCGGGCGCGTTCGTTCTACGTCACGACGCTACGTCCTACCTCGTACGCCGACTTCCATCACCCGTGGACGCGCGTCGATCGTTGCAGGAAGTCAGATATTTTTATTTATAAAGTTTTAAATATGTATATTTTTACGACAAAACCGCACGGATTACCCTCATAAGGCCTTCGTTTATCCCCCCGGAGCCGGATGGATTACTTCTGTGAAGGATATATGCACATTTTGGGACTTGAAGGAGGTGGACCCCATTGCTTCACATTATATCCACTGAAGGGTCTAAGACATTTTCTAAAATAACTGAAAATGTGTTCGTCTGAAACAAGATTGACATATGCATCTCGAACGGCTTGAGGGTGAGTAATGCATGGTTTAAATATCATTTTTGGCCGAACTATCCCTTTAATGGGATACAATGTCCATAGCTGGCAATCGACCATAAATACACTGCAGAAATAATCCACAATTCATGTACAACTAGCACAAACATGCATGCACAGTTCTCCAGCAATGTTCCTCAACAAGAGTTAAAGAATATTTCATATTTTCTTTCATTGTAAGACACTAGTGGTTTCAACCTTACACAATTTAGTTACCAATAACTCCATGGGCATCCATGGGACATAAACGATGCCCAACAATTTATATAGATTCTTTACCATTGTCTGTCTAGCATTATATTCTTCAAATCATTACAATTTTATACTTTTGCTTGATTATTGTAGCTAGTGATAGGGCCTCAGGGTCCCAGGTAAAATCTGATTGGCCTTTTCAATGCCCCTGTTCTGAGAAAAAAAAAAAGAAGAAGATTAATAATAGGAACTGGAGGCCATTCCGTTTTTATAGCTTGATCCTTAAATCATGGAGGTTTATGTTCTTACTTTATGAAAATTTAGCTTATGCATTTTAAAGTATTTGCAAAAAGATCATGTTAACCACACAATGATGTATCATGTGCTATATTGCCTATACATTTAAGTAACATAAGCAATCAATTCACACCGTCTAAGCAATGTAAACAAATTCTGAGAGCATATCCTATACATATCCACGGTAACTGCCCAATACAAAACTGTTTCAAACATAAAATGTTATGATAATGGGCCTTTTATTTATTTATTGTAGTAGAATTCAATAAAAAAAAAAGATTATTGTATAATAGGCTACTTGAGATTTGTCTGTCTTCCCAACCCATTAGAAAGTATAAGTCTCATGAAGAATCATACTGACATATTATATTAATTTGGCTCTTCTCTGTACATTTTGGCCCCTCTGTGGCCCTCGCTAAAAAAGGCTTATATTTGCCACAGTTGTTGCTTAAATGTAGTAATTTTTAAACAAAGCAGACAACACAACAAGCGTAAATATGAAGACAGATCCCACCACATGTCATCATCGCACAACTTATGCGCAAAAAAGAGAATCATTTTGTGGGTGGGGTGAATTATAAAATTTCAAAACAATCAATGTCTAATGCAATCGGACCGTTGTAGTACATCATCTTGGTATAGCTAAAACATCTGACTTTGGGTAAACATCTGACTGCGCGCGACACATAAAAAAAACGGAATGTAGGAATGGTTTGTTACGCACGAGTAAAAATACAATATTAACTGCAGACAACGGTCAATTTCATGAGATTTTAACATAACTATAATGTATTGAGCTGTTTTATCAGTGAAAGCAAAGATATATTTACGTTTAGTTTCAGTATAAAGATTCGGTTTTATCATTTGTCTGCCATAAAAATGTTTTTACGTAACGTGAAACTACATAATCTCACATTTTTCTCATTGGATTAACAAACAGCAACTATTCAAAATGCTTTCATAGACACAAAGTAACTTATAGAGTTACGGGGCCTAGAGGTTCCAGCGCTTTGAGGGACTGCGAGAGAGAGAGGAACGCAGATCCGCTGGAGCAAGTCCGCATTCCAGCACAGGGAGAATGTGCTGTTCACTCCTATCTCACTTTAAATGAGCAATACAACTCCCTTCCTAAACTTACAAAGGATTTGCGGCCGCATATCGAATATAGAAATTCCTGAAAACTACTAATACTAATACTAACGTTTTGAAAAAATAATAAAGTTTTGAGCGACTCACCATGTGATAAGTGGTACCTTAATCCAAGGAACTGATTTAAACTTCAGTAAAGTTGTAGATTATCGGTCTGGTGTTTTGTTTCCCAAGGATCGTCTTTCGATGTCCTCTCATAAAAAGCACACAGGGAAAATCATGGGATTGTCCTCCATTTTCTCGCCACTCACGGCAGAATTAGAATGCAGTACAAAGTTGGACACTTACTGCATTGTTAACATTCCAGAGGAGTCACGTGAGGCGGCCATGGACGTCAGCACTGCACATACCCTGGGCGGGGCTTCCTACATTTACAACGTTGAGATTCTGATCTGATGTACACTAGCTAGCAGATAAAATCATTGGAATGGGAAAATATTGGCCGATATATGTGCTAGACATGCGTTGTTCGCATAGACATTGACTCATGCTGGTAATTATTAATGATGTTATTATGAAATATTATTGTTCTCTTGTTCTTTACTGGCTCCTGAATTGTCCTTTAATTAGTCTAATCTCAAATCCTAAAGGAAATCACACAAATATCACACATAATTAAACCAAGCACAACAAACAAAAAGACAGAAAAAACACTCTGCTTATAAGTTTTGACCATGGTTTTGACATGTTCTGATGAATGATTGTGAAACAGGAACTGTATAGTTGACACATTATGGCACATACATTTCTTCAACATCAAGGTTTAAGAAAACACATATATTTGATGTCATATTACTGGTAAACCGCTTTTCTTTTACAACTTTTTGTTTATTTTAAATAATACTGCGTTGGGACAAATTCTATATATATATTTAGATGGAGTACAGAATGTCACAACGCAGGACAATTTCATGTCAACTACTTAAAAAGTACTGCAAAATTAGAAGAAGAAAAAAAATCTGTAGCCTATCTTGTTGTTTTTGTGTAATAAATTAGAAATTCATGAGAATAAAGAAACGGAAAAGGATAGTTCACCCAAAAATAGTATGGAGAAAAAAAATACTATGGGGCCAATCAACTGTTTGGTTAACAACATTTTTCAAAATATATTGTTTTGTGTTCAGCAGAGGAAATAAATTCTTTGAGTAAATTATGACAGAATTTTCATTTTTGGGTGAACTATGCCTTGAAGAGTGACAAAATACCAGTTCCAATTACAAATACTCAATTTTATGGAGACATTTTCATACATGTTATACAACAGGATGCTACATTTTGATGATTACAGTTGTGTTGGTGAACTTTACACATTGTAAAGTATAAGTATAGAACGTATAAGTAAAATGGAACATTCAACACAAGTATTGTCTTCACAAACCATAACATAGATAAATGGAACAGACACACACGCACACACGCACACAGTTAAGAGATAGCCAGGATACAGTACTGAAACATGTGCAATGGTATATATTCAGAGTGAAAATATAATTCTAAATGTTATTAGAGTTGATTTACAACAACAATGATCATATAGCAATGCTAACAACTAAACTGTAATTTTGTGGTACTTACATAATAATCACATTACATGGTAGAATGACAAGGCATCATCAGAAGGAAAGAACAAAGTACTGCTGGATTAATGCAAAAATATAGTGTATATCTGTACAGAAGCAAAAAAAAAATGGTATAGGCCTCACATGGACAAAGGCACTGGAACTAAGGGCAGCTGATGTCACAATACACATGATTATAACTGTCTCCGACTGAGACGCCTTCTTCGGTGCCTTGAATATTTTACATTCTCAGCATACAAGCTCCACTCACAACAATAGCAACTTAAAGTTAAGCTATGGATGGAATGTCTCTATCAAACCAAAGCATGAACAAAAGTTAGCTCAGAGACTGAGGAAGATCCTCATGTAAAAAAGACTAGAGAGAAAATTGTCCAGTGAACTGTGCCTGATGAATATGTTTGGTATAAACTGGTCCTTAGGTTGCATAAATGTTCTCAGCCCTCTTTTAATAGCAGAAAATCTATTCTCTTCTGTAAAAATGGGGAAACGATAAAGGTGCATTCAGCCATTGTACAGGTAAAAGTCGCTCTTGCAAAAAGTGTGGCGAACATGAGCAATCATTCCAGGGGTGCAGCAGAAATACACAGATTATTCAAGGCACAAGCAACCTGCACTATCTTATCAAAAGTGCTCACATTGGAAGTGCGTTCTATGACTGTAAAGGGACTCTCCACAGGTCCGGTCAACATACAATATCTTCTTTTGACCATGTCTATTACATTCCCAACATGCCTATGAACATTCATTTTATCTGAAAGAGCACCCACCAGTGAAAAATCTTCCTCACTCTGACTATTTTCAGTGTAACTGCAACTAGTGATTTTGAGTTCGGCTTTGCAAGCCCCTACCAAGCCCCCAATGTCAAAGTCATGCTCGGCCAGAACAACATCACCGGGCAGGAGCTTACAGAGAAGGCCAGAACCCTCGACTAAGTGCTTGTCGCTGACGTGACCCGGCGATCCCCTCGAGACAAACGTGACCACACCCTGAGGAGCAACACCTATCACATATTTAAGCTCATTCACCGTGGACTGAGCTGGGACAGTCAATGCTGTAGATGCAACCTCTTGGTTTACATCCACACAGATAGCTTTTTCCAGAGAAACCCTAAAGCAGTCAATGATCACTGCACAGTCTGGGTATGTGCAGCGCAAAGCTGCAGGTAGGTTTTTTCTGAGCTCTACTCTAGATGGCCAAAAAACAGCAGTGGGCACGAGGGTGGTGAACATTATATTAATAATCCGATGGACAGTCTTGGTCACTGTGGCAACCTTGACCCCAAAACGATAGGCCAAGTCTTGATTTCTAAGATCAAGCCTGAGTCGCATGAGAGTCAAGAGCAGTTGTTGGAATTTTGAGAGTTTCGCATTTTTGTCCCCTTTCATGTGTGGCACGAGAAGCAACATCACCGTCTCGAACACGAAGTAGTTTGGCAATCCTGTATAAAACCGAACCTTTTCTGGATCATGTTTGAAGGACGCCTCAGTGAGAGACATCTTTTCTATCGATTCCCTCAGCTCCATATTCTCTTTCTTAAGAGCCTCAAGACTGGACTCATATTCAGAGGGAATGCTTTGCACTGGACTTCCTCTTTGGTTTACACTTGTCAGTGAGATATCTTCTTCTATGCCATCTTCAGTCTTATCATCCTCTTCATCACAACTACTTAGTGAAGAGGAAATACTCTCTGGCTCTTCTTGACTTCTGATCTGGCCATGATCCTCCAAGAAACGCCCTTGTCCTTGCAGGAAGAGCAAAGCATTGGCTGCCTCCACTTGTGCCTCTTGTTTATCATACATCTCACAGGCACTTGCTTCTTTCGTATTCGGCGACAGTGGCGCTGAAGTGAAAACCGAAGGAATATAGTCTGGGGATCGAGGATTTTTCACTTGTTTTCCTGTAAATGGAACAACAATACATTTATTTTCTATAATAAGTTTTTTAATCATACTGCAAACAGTGCTATAAACCTAGAACAGAGCATTTCTGTTCTGATCCCTAAGTGAGGAATGCCAGAGGGTTAAAGCCTATGAAACAGAGTGCAAATTTTTCATTTAACCCAAACCCCAAAGTGTATAAAAATGGTAAAGTTAACATGACGCCCCGTTATCTACATCAGACATGGGCGTTGCAAACATAAAAACATACTCCCCCACTACCAGAAATATCTACATTCACCCCAGCGATGTGCATTATCCCTGCAAAAACAAAACAATACAATACCCATCACATCCCATTTAACATACCTGAAATGAAGTGAGTGCTGCAGAGTCTACTGCCCTCGTTTGGCACCCACCCTTCACGATTCACAGCAGCGATCCAGCGCTGCTTCCGCTCCGGGTCCCGTGGAAACCTGTAGAAGGATAATGTGGTCCCAGGAGTCCTCCTGTTCCGACACCCGGCCACTACACACGTGTGAACCATATTAAGGCCACCGAATTTGTGGACGTATTTGCTTTTCGTCACTAGTAATATTTACAATCTGACTCCCAAAATGGCGGTGGGGGTTGCGTAGACGACGCGAGTGTGTCGTCATTTCGCAGGTTGTCATCGGTTGGCTGTGATTGGTGTTCCCAGTCACTGCTGTGGTGATATCATCTCACTGCGCCGCGATCGCTCATTACTAACAGGCGTTGTGAACAGCGATTCATCGGCGATTTTCCAAAGAAATTGGATTAAAATGGCAGTAGAATCGAGGGTTACACAAGAGGAAATCAAAAAAGAGCCAGAAAAGCCAGTGGACAGAGAAAAGGTTAGTTTTTCGTTGCTTATGTTCGTCAGTTGCGCAAAAATTCGTGTACAAACGACGCGTCTTGCATGCTAAGCTAAATTGTAAATTTAACTAGTAAAACTTTACGTTTATAGCATATTATACTAAAATGATATGCTACTGAAATGTCTAGTTGCACCATAGTATACTACAAATCGTACCTTAATAATATAAGTGTATAGCATTCAATAAAAATAACATTAAAATATCAAGTATCTAGAACATAATTATTAAAGATGTGACACAAACGCATTTTACTCCATCTGTACTACAATCACGGAATTACAAACATAAATATTGTTATAATCAATATTGAATAAATGCACATACTCGTCTGTTGATTGAGTTTCGGGGGAGATTGTTTGTTATTCATTTCTGCATGTGTCTGTTGTCCCACAGACATGCCCACTTCTCCTGAGGGTGTTCACCACCAACAATGGAAGGCACCATCGCATGGACGAGTTTGCCCGGGGGAATGTACCATCTAGTGAGCTTCAGATTTACACCTGGTAGGTCTTATTATAAAACTTGATTTTTTTTTTTAAATTAAACCATATGATTCTGAATTGTATCTGCATTGGTTACAGGATGGATGCTACTTTGAAAGAACTGACAAGCCTGGTGAAGGAAGTCTATCCAGAAGCTAGAAAGAAAGGCACACATTTTGGGTTTGCCATTGTTTACCCAGACCCTAAACGACAAATCTACAGGTAATGTATACAGGGGCATTATATGTAGCTTGGTCAGTTTAGATTTGTAATTGTGAATTGAGTAACCTGGCTGGCTTTTGTTGTAGGGTTAAAGAGATTGGCAATACTGTTTCGGGACGCAAAGGTGCAGATGACTCCATGACGCTTCAGTCTCAGCGCTTTCAGATTGGAGATTACCTTGACATCGCGATCACTCCGCCGAACCGTGCACCACCTCTCCAAGGACGCATGAGACCCTACTGATCCTCCTGAAACAAGACTTGCTTGCATTTAAATAGAGGGATATTTTCTGGAAATCTGCCTTCCTACAGAGTTTGGTTCAATCCCTGCCTGTGCTTTTCAGGTGAACCTCAAGACTCTGATCATCTGTTTGTGAAGTCAGAACTAAACTCTGCAGGAAGGTCCATCTCCAGCAGCAGGATTGGGTAGATATTGGGGGTTGGAAGTTATATAGATATTTTTTTCATATTTTACGTTTTTCATGGGGTTTTATACAAGGTCTGCCTTTTAAGTTTTAGCCCTGTTACCATGATTCCCATAAAATGTTGAATAAATTTTTTTTTTTTCAGTATCTTGTCTCTGGTCTAAACATTTATAAACTGACTTTTTTAATTAAAAGAAACTAATTGTGTGAACAAAATACTTTGGTTTCACATTCAGAATTAACCTGTTAGTTTTAGGTTTTCATAGACATGAAGCTAAACTTTAACAAAATGACCTACATAATATTTTTTTAATTATGGAGCCAAATGTTAGGCTTTTCTGCATTTTGTCCATCTTGCCTCATTTGGAAACTAGTCTGGAAATAGTGAATTAAACCGATAACAATAATCTGGCATTTGTGCTATAGCTGTGTCCCCACATTACTAAAAGGGTTACACTACATTACTCTGCACATTTACCAGAAATGCACATAAGGACCTGGATAATTGTACTTATTTATATAATTCTCTGATAATAAGTGCTAACTCATTCCAATGTAGTTAGTTCCTTTTGAATAACCATCAATGCCATCATTTTGAATTCTCTTTATTAAGTATTATTTAAAAACCTCCTTAAAAGTGTTTTGCACTTATCAAAAAATAAGTCAATAGAGTCATGGTGTTATGAAAGCAATCTGCTGTTCTCCTCTTGGTGCCACTTTTTGAAAGCTAGACCTAAAGGTCTGCAGCACAGATCCAGTAGTGAGCGCTTACGATTTGCACTGAGCCACAAGCTAAAAAGGGGGAGGAAAATAAAAATTAACAACCATATTTGAAAGTTTTCTTTGACAAAAGTCCAATTTGCAATAGCCATTTCAGCATTACAAGGTTGTAGTGACTCACTTTTAAGATATCCTGAGTGACTGAACTTATATCTGGCATCTCTGGTGTGCATGGCTCTGTGGGAAACTTCATTCTGACTTTTGGAGTTGCAAGGCACCAATCCTGACTGAAGCCATCTTCAGGCCTTGGGACAGGGGTTTGCTTCAGCTCTAACACATTACCTGCCCCCATCTTCATCCCAGAGAGACTTTCACCAGATGCATTTTTCTGTTCAGAGTTGATGGAAGGGAAAGCATTATCTGCATCTCAATAAATGAAACTATAAACCAATACATTTATGAGGTTAAGCATGGAATCTAGGGTATAATGATTCAAATATATTTAAAACATGATTGCTTACAAAAGCAAGAGAACTCCCAAAAAGTGACTGCAGGGACGGCATCTCTGGCATCGCCTCATCCTCGTAACGTAGCACTTTTGGCATCTCTGGAGCGTCAAACGAAGGAGCTCTGTTAGTGTTTGAAAGCTCTGGTAGGTGAAAGCTGTCCTTCTGTGATCCCCTGTGCCTCTCGCTTTCTTCCTGCTTATCGTTATCGTCCTGTGAAACCATAATTGCAGTGAATAAGTGAAACCATTGCACATTTTGAAAGGTATTGTATGTGATCAGGGTTTAATGTAATAAATGTCTCTTGAGGCAGATTTACACATCAGTAACAAAGGTATTGAGTTAAGGGGCACATCACACCTTTTTTATTAGCTTGCTGACAAAAGGTGTCTCAAATGCAGGGAGCTCTGGGGTAGAAGGACAGTTATTAGGGCGAGGAGGAGAATCGAGATAATTTTTTTCTTTCAATGGTGGAGAGGACGGGATCCGGTGCTTCTCAATCTTAAATCCTGGGGTGCAAAACACAGGAGGCTCTGGGGATTCCAGACTCTCTGAAATAGTTCAACACAAACATGCAAATCAATAAAAAAACTTTATAGCGAATATAAAGAGCCAGCTTCTTTTGTAAACAGTTAGTAAAAGTAACCACATATTCAGGATTTCAGAGACCAATGCCTGGTTTCATGTTTGAGCCGTCTTAAATGAAATGAACTTGCACTGACATATCTTAAAATATGACATATCTTAAAATATGTCAGTGCCATTGTTTTGTCTCAAGATGCACACCAGTAATGTTTTTCTTTTCTAAGGCACGTTTATAAAAAGTCCTAATTGAATTAAGGCAGAATTAATCCTGGCTTAATATAAACCCTGTCTGTAAAACCGGGCACAAATTTAATAGTTAAAGAATCAATTATTCAAACCATCATATAGGTTAACTACTAATCTTAATATTAAAAAAAAACAAAAGTCTAAATGATTTACCTCTGGCGACACCTTTGTTAGGCACAGAAGACAGAGTTCTTTCACTGTATAAGACACAAAACACACACATATTACTGCACTTCAGTGCACTACCATTCAAATTTGACAGCAGTAAGATTTAAAAAAAACTTTTTTTTTACTTTTTCAACAAAGGCACATTAAATTGACCAAAAGTTACAATAAAAACATTTATTATGTTACAAAACATTTCTATATATAAAAAAAGATCTTCTATTCATCAAAGAATCCTGAAAAAATCCACAAAAATATTAAGCATAATAAATGTTTCTTAAACACACTATCAGCATATTAGAATGATGATCATGTGACACTAAAGACTGGAGTAATGATGCTGCATTTGATCACAGGAATAAATTACATTTTAAAATATATTGAAATAGAAAACTGTTATTTTAAACAATATAATAAAAATGTTTTTTTACTGTATTTTTAATAAAATGCAGCCTCGGTTAGCATTCAGTAACACTTTATTTTAAAGTGTCTTTGTTAAACATGTTACATGTAGTTACTATAGTAATATAACTATAAATTATACACAATTACATGCAACTACTAACCCTAAAGCAAACCCTAATCCTAACCTTATAGTAAGGACATGTAGTTAATTAATATTACTCACTACTTAAATGTATAATTAAAGTAACAGGGACACCTTAAAATAGTTAACGAGACTTTTTTCAAAATCATAAAAAATAATGTATATTGTATGTATAGTAACAGCTGGCACAGAAATACGCAGAGATCTGTTCGATTATGTCACACACAATCACTGTAATGATTACTTCACTTGAATCTTTATCATTTTTTACTTTCAAAATGTTGTTCAAAATGTCATAAGGTTGTAAAGATCCTAGCAACTTTATTACTCCTAAAGATGTAAATTCAACTTAGACAGCATTAAATCTACCCATGAAGCTGAATTTTGTGACTTTAAATTTTGAAGCACATTTTCAAAGTGGCATATTTAGTCTTTTCAGAAGACAAACATGCTTGTGATTTTGCATTCACAACCAGACACAGTAAGCAGCATACCTGCAGGTCTTTGGTGGTTTCTTGTTGAACAAATCCATGGTAAAATCATTGTTCCAGCACATGGTATACTCAGAGATGCCGAAGTCCTCTAGTCTTGGGGTCGGAGCATCTTCCTCCATACGCAGAGAGCACTTGGGTGTCTTTGGCTGCCGTGGATGCATGCTCATGACAAACGGTGGAGGTGACAGAGCCACAGCTGGGACAGGAGCGGCACTGAGAGACTGCTCTGCTTCACCAAGCACTCTTTGGAATTGAAGTGCAGACAGACCAAAATCAGAGAGCTTTGGGGTCCGCAGCTGGTCAACGGGTGGTGGCATCTTTTCAGGCGTCTCTGACTGCTCAGCATCTTCACAAACCCCTTGTCTCATTCCTTCATCTTCCTGTGCTTGCTCTTTTGTCCCGTTAATCTCTAGAAAAGTGAGCAACATTTCCATTGACATATACATTAATTGTAGCAAAGCCTTAACTGAAAACAAAACAAAAAACCTATTTTAATCATTAAATAGAGATAATTGCTATAAAATCCAAGCAGAGGCAGCACTGGGATGTTAACATTCTCAGATGTGATAAACATTTACCTATACACCCCTGTCTTGCTATTCGTGGTCTGTAGCCATACTTCTCATAGTGTTTCTTCAGCATGTCTATGTCTTCTGTGGTCCTCTGCTTCAGCACCAAGCATCTTCTGATGAAGCTCCTCAGCTCAGTACTTGTTGTATCGTGTGTAGCAACCTGATCTTGAACTTGCCGCTGCATATGATTTTGTGACAAATGTAGCCCATATTTAAAAATACACTGAAATCATGGACCATAAGTGAGCATACACATACCTTCAGTGTCCTGACTTCAGAGTGCAGCTGATACAGTGCTTGAGCCCCATTCTCTTCATCCTCTGAACAACCACAGACAACAGTCAATGGATGCACAATTATGACCTGATCATTTTATTACTTACTATAAAACATGTACTGCCAATTTACCATCGTCGTCTTTGAGGTTCTGACTTGTATGCAGGAGATTGTTGCTTTCAGTCTCCAGATAAACAGTCAGTTTCCGAAGCTTTGCAAAGAAACGCTCTGAAGGATTCATGCTTAATGTCAAACTGAAATGACAATTCATAACTAGTCATAACAAGAAAATCAAATATATAAAAAAAAAAAAAAAAATCAAATAGTATTATATAAAAAATATTAACATAAAAATACCGGTAGTTCTTTTCTGCATAAACAACAAACTGTAACGTTAACTGTTTTGGATTGTACGGCTAATGTGGAAAGTGTACAATAACAAGTAAAGTTAATCACAATAACAAAACACAAGGAAGCTACTGTCTTGAGCACAGTCATTTAAGAAACACATGGTAACCGACAACGAATAATACCTTAACAGAAGTACTGTGGTTTTATGAACTAGATCCAGAAAGTAACATATTAAAAAAATACCTCTGAACTGTTGTTTCAAATTTCGCGGCACATCCGGGTTCGTTTTGACTGACTCGTTAGACTTGACGCACATCCAAACACAATGAGACTCATTACTGCCACCCAGTGATGCTTTGCAGTCATTCTACGCGAATTATGTTTAAAAGATAGTTCACCTAAAAATGAAAAATTTGTCATTACTTTGTCTCACTCTCACCCTCAAGTTGTTCCAAATCTGCATGAGTTTCGAAACAAAGATCTTTGTTCTGTTGAAAAAAGAAGATATTTGGAAGAATGCGGGTAATCAGATTTTTTTCCTACTATGGAAGTCAATGGGTGCCTTCAACTGTCTGGTCAGCATATTTATTTTTGCCAGTGTGGTTAACAGATCAATGTTGATCCACATGCCTTTATGTTTCTTAAACTTAATTAAAAATATAGTTCTCAAAAAACAAATTCATAGTTTTAATTTAGGCTAATAATTGTGTAACTGCAATGACCGCTTTTTGTCTACAGATTTTTGATATATTGTTGTGCAACCAATGACCTAATCCTCGGTTAACATTGGACGCACAAACCGTTTAGTTTCATTCATCCTTTTAATGTGCCCCAGACTTCAACTTCAAATACAGGAGCTTCAGCGCCTTTATTCCACCCTACATTAACACAATCGTCATGACAGGATATCTCCTCAGTGTTCTGTATGCTTCGTTTAATTTCTGGACACCTCATTCTTTTAAATTACATTTACTGTTCATCTGGTTTATAATTACTAAATGAACTGAGTCTTTCCATTTATTTAAAAAGCACTTGTAATAAATGGAGGTCAAATTAAATAATTGAAAATCTACACACTATGTAAAATGTATTGATTGCATTTTAAATCATTTCGATGTGGAAAAAAACTCAGGGACAACTAATTCATGTTTTAAAAAGTCTTTATGTTCTTTATTAATTCATGTTTTATATTTCCTTGACAGAAGAGAGACTTCTAAACTTGAATACTTGTTCCTCTAAATCTGTGCGAGTAACTTTAATACATATGTGACTAATGAAACTTTCTCTTTGAATGCCCACAGAGATTTCTGAATGCACATATTAACTCATGGACAGCCAGAGTGTTATCAAACTGCTGTCTTTGTTGATTTATGGGCCTGATTTAAACATGGTAGCACACTACCCTTGAAAATAAAAATGCATTTTTTGTGTGTTGAGAGAAGTAAAAATATAATGTGATGATCTTTAAAAAAAGAAATAAGAACAAAAATAAGAAAAAAAAACATGTAATGACGGAGTTCTCTGTTTAGCCTACATCTTTTTAAAATAAAACTTTTATAAACATCTGACCTTTTAAAAAAAATATATATACATATAAAATGTAAAATATGGTGGATTATTTCTAGGCCCTGACCAAATTTGTGCATTATCTACGCTGATTTTTGGGAAAAATCTGCTGACTTTTGTGGGACATTTAAACTAGCTGAGTGAAAATTAGCTGAGTGTACTACATTAGTCGCTGAAAGCTAATCTGACTGAAATGAAGGTCACCGGTGGGCGCTGTTCTGGATACCTCAGAGAACAGGCTAAGGAAGACTTAAAGAGGCAGATCCTGGCGGTGGGGAGAAGCAGAAGCCTACTAGAAGAACAAGTTGCAAAGATCCACTTGCAGAGACCCACAAAGAAACATTAGAGTGAAACTGTGACTGGTTATGCTGAGCTGTGATGGTGCATCCTGCTGTGGGCACTTGGAAAGTAGTAGTCTATGGCAGCAGAAGCCAGGAGGGAGGAGCTGAGCTGGAGAAGGAGGCCTACAAACAGTCGAATATCATCCTATCAGTATTCTCAGAAGAACTGCATTCCAGTGTGATGCTGAGTTACACCTTATTCAAAGCCTATTTTCCAAACCGCTTGTCCGGAATAGAATATTCACAAACCACAGCCAGAAATCTATGCCGATACAGAGAGAGGATCCAATAAGTAAAGCAAAGCTTAATCTGGCAAATTTGTAGAGGAAGCTGCAGGTATCATGTATCATGTATCAAGTATCATGTAACATTGAAGACTGGAACATTACATAAACACTAACAAATCTTCCCGACCCCAAACTTAGTACATGTATATATGTGGGAAGATGCCCCCTTAAGAACAATGTGGATTTTCTTTTAAACAGTATTATAGGATTATATTATTATAGGAAATAAATATAAACATTTCCTAATTTAGTTGTTATAGCACAAAATGTAACATATTGAAAGAGGGGGTAAGTAATTACTTATATAAATGATAAATTAATAAATAACTTTTTAATTCAATTTAATTCATATTTATTTGTATAGAGCTGATATATTTACATATCTAAAGTATCATTATTGTAAAATACTAACTCTATATAGATTTTTTTTGACAAATTAGTCGATAATAATTGAATAACCAATGACAGACCAAGCAGAATCCCAGTAAAATAGATTTATCGGAAAGGTAAAATTATTCTATGACTTATGTACAGGCATATAAATATTTACATTTTTAATTGCCCATATTTTAATTGAATCATCTATTATTTCATCATACCTCAAGGGTCTAATTTTATCTTTTTACTTCAAAATAAAATCTATAACCTTTACCCCACAAATCCAAAAAAAATTGATGTGTCCACAAACCCCTCATTAACAAATAGACACAAAAAAATTTGATATTCAACATAATAAAATGTCATACATCACTATTTTCCAGAGACACAAAATTAGATCTATGAACCTCAAAACTGTTTCGGCTGACTAAATCTCACAAATGTTGATATGTAGATGAAATGACAAAATTATGAATAGCATATCCATTCATCAAAAGTCCTGATATGAGATTTTGTGTCATCTATGGTCAGGAGGAATAATTTAGGGGGGGGGGGGTCATCTTATCCCATGTTACCAGCATATGTTAAATCAGCTACAAGTTACTTGTGCTCTTAAGTGTGTCATTAACAGCACTAACTTACTTTCTCAACATAACAAAATGTCTTTATCCTGTTGAGATGTCTCCAGGTCTCTCTTGATGTCTGGATAGTCCTCCAGAACACATTGAAAGGTGTCCACTGACAAGGAAAAGAGCTGACAGATAGTCAGAGCTTGTACTGTGTCCAAACGCCTTCCTCTTGTTAGGAGACATGAGTCTGGAAAGGCAAGGACAGAAATTATTAGGGCCCAAGCCCTGAAAGGGCGCAGAGCCCTATTGTTCTTCTAAGGATTATTTATTATTATTTTTTATCAACCTTTCGGGCACTTTTGGGGCCCTTAACGTGCTCAAAAACTCTTGAAACTTTGCACACGGGTCAGAACCGGGCTGAAGCTGGTACCCGGGCGTAGCAGGGGGGCTCGACAGCGCCCCCTTGTTTAACATTAAAATGAACATCTTACCAATGAGTCTGTTTCAAGACACTGACTACAGTATATTACAACACAGAATAGAGTACATAATATAAACAGATATTGCATTGACAAAGCAAAGATTTATATATATCGAGTCAAACCTCCAAAGTAGTCTCCATCACACAGTTCCCTCTGGAAAAACTCATTCTCCACAAGGACCTGCCCGTGCTCGATGAAGAACATGCGGTCACCAGGAGCATTCTGCTGGATGATGATGTCACCCGCCTGGAAGACCTCATACAGCAGTTCCAGAAGAATGGCATTGATGAAGTTTATGTCACGGTTCCGGAAAATGGGAACTTTTCTCACATGGTCCGAGCACATGGTCAGCAGAATTTCCTAATAAAACCATTTAAATCATCATTAAATCGTTATTAAATCATTAATAACACAAGCAAGCTTCTTTTAAGTAATCACTTCTACGAGTATGAATTCCAACAGTAAGCAGCACCTCTCTGAGAGATGAGGACACCCACTTCAGGACATCCTTCTCATCATACCATTTCCCTCCATAGCGAGCCTGATAGTAGTTGTTGATGCGCATACGAAGGGCTTTGGGAAGCTTCATGAAAGTCATATAATCTTCCAGATGGTTTATCTATGTAAAAACAAGCAAATAAGAAAATGGCATACACGATAACCATCTAATATGTTGCTTTATCAAGGTATTTGTTTTTCTTGCACCTTGTTCTTGTACGCTCTTGCTGTTATGTCCACATCAGACATCATAGCAGCAGTGTTGGCAACCATCACTGTGTACATGATGGCTCCAGACACAATGCTAGTCATGACAATCCACAGCTCAACCTCATCTAAAAACAAAACAAAACTTCAGGCATTAAAAGAAGTATCAATTGTGCATTTGTGATTGGTGAATGATAAAATTAGCATATTGCTAAATCGGCTGATCAAAAGTATACTCCTTGCTTGTGGGTGTATCAGAGGAACCATATGATATTGCAGTCATATGAGAGAGGGCCCGAAAGACTCCAAAGGAGTACTTCTCTCCCACTGTGGCATTCTGACAAATGAAAAACAAAACAAAAAAGTTGACATTAATGCATTCAATCTATCCACTAAAACCACAAAACAGCTCTAAAATAATATCACATACACTGTATGGCTCTCTGTAATACCTTGTTCTTATCGGTCAATCACAGTATATGCTTTTGGTTCCAGGAGAGCCTTTAAAATTCATGGAACCCTTCCATTCCACAAAAGGTTCTTTATATTGGTAAAGGGTTGTTTAGATTTTTTTTAATGTTCTTCACATTATACGAAAAAAAAGGTTCTTTTAAGAACTGTTCACTGAAAGGTTTGTTGGGTGAACAGTCCCCCCCCCCCCCTTGAAACTTTTATTTTTTAGTGTATCAAAGCAAAAATTCCCTTATCGAGGACCTCAGTATTAATATACTGTAATAGTGTTGGAGCATTCAGCTTTAAGATGTAAGATTATAATATAATTTCAACACAAATCAATACTTCATATTGAAACATTTATGCATTAGGTATGCATTTGGTATGCAATAGCCATTTAAATCGCAGGATAATGTACAATGTAAAAAATGATTGCTGTGATTATTTATCACAACTTAAAATTCAACATATTCTTCAAATATTGTGTTTCAACATAAAAAAAATATGTGTTTGTGCTTGACTTAAAGGGTTAGTTCAACCAAAAATGACATTTTTGTCAGTAATTACTCACCCTCGTGTTGTTCCAACCCCATAAGACTTTCGTTCATCTTCGGAACACAAATTAAGATATTTTTGATTAAATCTGAGAGCTGGCTCACTCCTTCATAGGCTGCAAGGTAATTTCATTCTGCCAGCCCAGAAAAGTTAGTAAAGACATCGTTAAAATAGTCCAAGTGACTACAGTGGCTCAACCTTATGTTTATCAAGCAACGAGAATACTTTTTGCGTGCAAAAAACAAACAAATTAACTATTCATTTTCTTCTGTGTGGGCCTCTGACGAGTTCACGAGAGTGCAGGACGCATGCGCGAGAACTGAGAAGATGACGCAGATGGGTCTCCATGTGGTGTTTAAAATGGTTCTAAAGTGTGCATTTCCTGGATGTCCGAATCGTGAGAAACCAACGAGAAAACGTAAAAGTGCCTTACCAATCCCGCAAAATGAATGGCTTACCTTTCACACTTTCCCATCAAATGATCGCGAGCGCCATCTTCTCCGCATGCGTCCTGCGCTCTCGTGAACTCACGTCAGAGGCCCACACAGAAGAAAATGAATAGTTGAATAAAGTCGTTATTTCTGTTTTTTTTCTAGTCGCTTGATAAACTTAAGGTTGAGCCACTGTAGTCACTTGGACTATTTTAACGATGTCTTTACTAACTTTTCTGGACCGGCAGAATGAAATTGCCTAGAAGCCTATGAAGGAGTGAGCCAGCTCTCAGATTTCATCAAAAATATCTTAATTTGTGTTCTGAAGATGAACGAAAGTCTTAGGGCCTGTTCACATATAGCGCCTAAAAACGCGTAGAAAACGCTTGGCGCGCCACATTCTCCTTTTTCCAAAGCGCTAGGGCGGTTGCGCTCCGGAGGCGTCTGTTGGTTCTTGTCACGTGACCTATGGTGCGCTTGAGGCTGTTGAGATGTTTTTATCTCGATGCGGCCGGCATACCGCGTGCCTACATTTGAAATAACGAACTTGAGCGCGCAAAAGACGCAATATGTGAACAGGCCCTTACGGGGTTGGAACAACATGAGGGTGAGTAATTACTGACAGAATTTTCATTTTTGGGTGAACTAACCCTTTAAAATGTTAAGTTTATTTAACTTTAGTTTAGTTTAGTGAAGTTGGATATTTAAGTAATCTCAACAATTTTAAGTTGTTATAAGTAATTGCTGCAACATTACCAATAATGTTTAAAAACCATTTAAAGAAATTTCTTTAAGGCATATCTGGAAACGTTGAAAAACTTTCTACAACAAATCTAGATTTTTTTTTATACATTTCACAATTAAAATTTTCATGACTATAAAATATTATTAATTTCCATGACTTTTCCAGAGCTTGTAAGTTCAATTTTCAAATTCAATTATATTTTCATAACTGTGGGAGCGCCGTTCTGTGTGAACGCAAACAAGTCTCGGGATTGATCCCGGGATCGATGCAGGGATGGGCACCTAGTAACATTGCTAGGATCAGTCCCGGGACGCACCCTGTGTGAACAAAAAAGGACCAATGCCGTAAGGGGTGTGTCGTAGTGATGACGCACGTGCCATCGCACAGGCCTTTCTACAACCTATGCTACAGCATATGTGGAACGAACCACTCGGCAAACCCAGTGGCGCTACTGGGGAGTATGGACTCGTCTTCATGTAGAAGAGGAGTTATCAGCAGAACTGACATCTGACAGGAGTTATCATATCCTGATGTCACGTGTCTTTACCGGATCTTTACGGGAAAATCACTGCAGTGTGAATGAACCAAAATCAAACGATCCAGGGACAAATCCCGGGACACATTACCTGTGTATATTCCGGAATCTCTGTGTGAAAGGGGCTATAGATACATACCATTAGATTCTCTCTTCTAACCCAGCAGTCTGAGGGAAATTCCTCAAGCATAGGTACGAAATACTGAATACAGCCATTCCAGTGGCACAGCAGGAATATCATCATAAATAATGACAAGATTCTTAGGAATACCCTCATCACCTCCAAGTTGGCATTTGAAACCTATGAGGCAGAGATTCAATATAAAAATCAAAGGCATTATTTAAAGAAATAAAAACACTTTCTGAATGATGACTTCCTATTTGTTGTACAAACAATTCAGTTTTGTTCAGATGAGATCAGTTTCACATGTTCAAGCTATTCATTACTTACTCTCTCCACCTCATTGAAAAACCTAACTAGCCTTGACACACGCAGCAGGCGGACAAGACTGAGGATTCTCACAAACATCAAGATGCGCATCATTTTGCTGGCTCTGGATGAGGGAGAGTCACCATGGTATTGTAGATCCTGTCATGAAAAGGGCACAAGACACAAGTTTTCCAATTAAAGTGATGTAATTTCAATACAGTCAAAGGATTGTAGAAAAAGACAGATTACCGCAATAAGTAGGATATAACCAACTGGAAATGCTGCCACCATATCAGGTATAAACCAGCTCTTTAGATACCGTTGTCGAATGCTTTTCAAATCCAGAATGGCTCCCTGTGTAACATACAGAATGATTCATTGGATTTGTTTAAGCAATGGGATATTTGTAAAGTCTAGGGCTAATCCTTACATCGCTGTCCTCATTAATGATCCCCATGCGAAAGTTAAGCCCAACGTCAATCAGGAATAGAGTGTCCGAGAACACATTAAAACCCTCCCAACCTACTCCACTGTTCCCATCTAGAAAGGCAATCTCCATTGGAATCCCAATTAGATTCAGAAATGTTATGGCCACCATACACATGATGTAGTAACTCCTGTATAAATAAGAAAAAAAAGAGATACATTGGGGTTTTTTGCATGGCATTTCATGTGGTTTTACCTTTTCAAAGTATATTTTATTTGATTAAATATTTATTAGCCCATTAAAGACATACACTTAAGTGTATTAAAGGTTTTTTATTGGCATCGGTGGTTAAATGAAGAACCTTAAACATATGTAATTAACAAACATGTAATCTTTTCATGCCACAAAATGTTGTTCAAAGGTTATTTAAATCACTAAAATGTTCTTCACACTAAGAAAAATGGTTCCTTTGTGAAGTGTTGACTGAAAGGTTCTCTGGGGAACCAAAAATGGTACGTGCACATTACCTTATACGACTGAAGGGATGGATGACGATCACGTCTCCCTCTTTCTGTCTATTGCGCTCCTTCTCCACGGCCACCTCACTGCCGTAGACATACAGCGAGCGTCTGTTCAACTGAGGCAGCAATAGGTTTTTCCACCCGTTCCATCTGAAGCGCCTGTGATTCTCAGGTGCGAAACGCTGCATTTTCAGACCCTGACTAAGCACCGTAATCACCGAAGCTCCTCTAACATCTCTCACCGAGCCTCTGTGACAACTTTATTTCTGGACTTTCTTTTATGCTGACCATATTATCCACTTTTCTTCTTCGCCTTCAAGCTCGCTCCCTTTCTTTCTCTCTCTCACGCACGCACATGCACAGTCACAGAGTAATTTTCCATCACAGTTTTTCTGGCTCGATCCAGAATGTAGAAGGAGATAAGTTCCAGACTTTCCATTCTTCCCCCCCTGTCAAACTAACTATTGTCTCATCAACTATTCAGTATCTCTGCCTCGTGCTCACATCAGCTCAGCTCATCTGGACTGTGGGGCGGGGCGGTTCTTTGACACAAGGTGGTTTTGAATATCACAAGTAGGCTATTGTCATCTGAACCAGACAGATGGTTCTGATAGAACCGGACAATGGGAGGAGATAGAATTACTTACACTCTCATTGTGTGTAAATGACTGTACTGATATCACAAAGAGATTCTTTCTAATGAGCACATAAAAGTGCACAGAGAATTTTGCTATTCCAAAAAGAGACAGAATACAGGTTTATCTTTTCTTCTTTTTTTTGCAGATATTTATGCTTTATAAGAAATCAGAGATTAACCCTTGAATTCATGAATGTTTTGCCAATTAGCGACCCGGATCTATGTCTAACACGGATGTCTCTCTACCAACTCTCCTGTTATTAGAGTAACAATTAACCTACAGAAGAATAAACTAAAACATATTTTGTTACCTTTTGGAGCATGGCAGGGTTCCGTTTGAGTATATGTTTTATACCATCACAGAGCTCATTTCCCATCTGGCTCCTATTCGCGACCTCAAACATATTCTAAAAACTATCATTTTCAACATCTTCAAAATCAATATTTTGATCGCTGACAGCTTCTTCACCAGATCAGCCATCAAGTGACAGTGACAGTAATATTTGATTGCGTTCAGTAGGCCCATTCTGCTCTGCAGTAAATCGCTGAGCCATTTCAAGTTTAGCTGATGATACTTCCTATTCTTTTGTTTTTTTGTCTGCGGTATGAGTGAACCATGTGAACCGATCCTTGTGTATCAAACACCTTGTGGAATAAAGGTGAATTGCACTTACTTAAAGGTGCTCTAAGCGATGTCACGCGTTTTTTAGGGCAAAACATTTTTTGTCACATACAGCAAACATCTCCTCACTAACCGCTGGCTGCCTGTCCCCTGAACACACTGTAAAGAAACGCGATCTCTGTAGACAGCCCATGCTTCACAAACAGCACCAAAAACAAACTGCAGCGACCCGCTCCCTGAAACATAATAAACTATTCCAGCCAATGACCGACAAGAAGGGTTTGGGGGTGTGGTTTGGGGGGTTAGTGTGCGGATGAGGAGGAGGGAGGGTCTAGCTAGCCTCCGTTTTGTTTGACAATAGTTCGAACGTCAACAAGAAGTGACGTCACCCAGGATCGCTTAGAGAACCTTTAATTTAATGGGAAAACAGGCATTCTTTTATAATTGTATTTTTTTTTCTTGTTATATTGTTTATAATGAATTGATTGAGGAATACTAAGAAGGTTGCTGTCTAACTTAAAAAAAATTAATGAGGAGGAGGGTAGTGAATGACGTCCCGGGTCACTAGGTATGCATTTAAGGGTTAACATGGGGGTAGCCTATACATCTGGGAAAACTAGTCTGTGTTTTTGTTGAGGATGTGTTTACATAAAAAACAGTAACTTCAGCTTTCAGCTTCAGCTTTCCACATAGCAATGGTGGAGCTCACTAGATCTCCGTTAAACTGAATACAGTATTGTATTGCACTGGCAGGCCATGTTTATGAGAGTCACAATACAGTGTTGAATTTCAAAGTCGTATTCAAGTAATGTAACTGGTAACTGATCTTACATTCTCAGAAGGAAACAAACACCTAAACTACATTCATTTGTTGTACTCACATTGCATTCAGTTATCTATAGTGGGTCAATAAATTCATCAAATCAATCAGTAACTGGTTTTATTAACAAGTTCATCTGTGAAGCTTCTGTCTATTTCAAATACTAAACGATGCATCCATTCAACAATTTTATCTATATATCTAATATAATTATTATTATCATTAATAACCAATTTGCCAAATGACTTTAAAACATATAAAATTATATATAATGTAGGTAGCTAATATATATAGACCTGGAAACATGTCTGAAAAGGAACAACATACATTACAACTAAATTATACATGGTCATACCTCAACAGTTTTGAAACTGTTATGTTGTTTAAAAATGTAAATTGCTACAAAAGCACAATGCTGTCTGATTAATTACACATCTGATTATAGCCTAAGCTTGACAAATTATGTGTAATTAATCCGGCAACACTTTCAAATGTCACGTTTGAGGTAGGCTATAGCTTTGCAAAAAAAAAATAAAAGAAAAAAAAGGCACATTTTATACTCATAAATTGAGTACGACATACAAACAAAAATATACTAAACACCCAGCAGAAATTCCTGAGGGAACCCATGCTGCGTTAGCGTTCTCTGTTGGCCTACAAATTCACGTCATGATTGAAAAGTTCTATTTCTGCTGCTCATATGCTGAACTTAGCAAAAAATGCAGAGAAAATGCAATACAGACATTTTATTTTGTGTTATAAACACAATATTTTGCTATATAAGCTGTTACAGTGTACATCTAAAAAGTCAGACTTGACGCAAGTTTCAGACTTAGTGACACATTCAAAACATCACTGGTTTTGCTACACTTTGGAGTTCTGTTTCAGAATTAGGCAGAATTGGGTTCTGTAATCAAATCATGTATTTTTATTATCCTCCTCATGTAAAATAATTTTTTAGACAATAAGTCTGTCATCAAAAGCTCACTCCAGATAACCATTTTTTTAATTTAAGGTGAAAATCAAAGGAAATAGCCTACCCAATGTAGTAAACCTGCTATCTGTATAGAGATTTATCTCTTTTACACTTTAGAAACAAGCTCTATGTGCTTGCATTTCATTTGTAGTTCCGCTCGTTTGCTGAATACGTATAGCCTAAAGTGTGAAACAGGTCTAGAGTCAAATAACTTCTGAGCAGTTCTTAAAAACAGCACAAGCCAATATAATGCTGTTGTGCTAAATAAACATGAAGTTGAGAATAAATTTGCACTTGCACTTTCATATCAGCCTTGACACAGAGTTTGTCAGGGTTCTGTCACTCCTGTATTTTCCTGTCCTTGTGTGAGCGTGCAGCTTCAATTACTCTCATCTGCTAAATGCAATGTGTTTCTTTTCAGTGTCAGGGAATGGACATGCTACAGGTTTTGTCTTTTGTTGAGCACACGGGTTGAGTGTTTTCTTGTATTTTTGCTTATTTTTGCTATGTAAATAAAGCGCCTTATCCCTTACAACAAACCTGACAGAATTCTCAGGAAAAAAAAATCCCACCAATATCAGAAGCCATCCGTGAAGCTGTATCAGTATGAACATATTTGCATTGTAACTAAGTTGTAAAAATGTCAAGCAAAGTTGTGTTGCAGTTGCCTGCAAATATTGACTCGTTGTTTGTTAAAGTATTTTTTATAATACCCATCTGACATAAATTATATATGAGATAATGTCATTATTAAACCACTAAATATTTTATTCCTTTATATTAAAAATTATAATACTGAAATGTTAGCAAATTATGAAATAATATTATGATAAAATAAATAATAAAGTAATAGGCTAGCTTTAAATGGCTTTTATTCTGCACAAGACCTTTATTTTGGTTTGTTCGGCAATCGGCATGTTGTTATTCCCATAGAGTCATAGACAGTATAAGAAAGGTTATTCCCTGTTTTTAAAACCGCGTTTCATTTTAGCTCTAGCCATTAATGTGTGTAACTGTAAATCATATTTAGGTAATAAATGGCTATAGCTTAGTTGTTAAATTAGTAATATTGTTTGTTTTAATGAAAGATCGTAACCCGGAAGCTACGGAAGATACTTCCGCGTTCACGGGGTTGTACTTGTGCTGTTATTAATTTGACAGCAACAGCAGGTTGTGTAAGAAAGGACGCACGTGAGCTCATCAGTCTCTTCATCATATACATTAAGTAAGTCAACGTTTTTCAGTTATATGTTTTTTATTTGATCTTACCTGACAGCACGATTTGAATATCTGTTACCTCCGATTAGGCACAGCATCTTTGACAGCGAGGTATAACAGCTGTATTTCAACGAAACTAATCGTTAAACAGCAGAGGACATGATGTAACTTTTAATATGGCGGCTAGTTTGCTGCCCGCTGCTGGTTGTTCACAATACGTAGTGTTGAAACTGAAGTTTAGAGCTGGACTAAATCATTGTGTTCCCTGCTCTTTTGTTTTTCTCAGACAATTGGAAATGTCTAGCCTGTCAGCAGCCAGTGTGGAGGCTTCACCAGCAATAGAGAGCACAGAGCAGAAGAAACCTCTGAAACCATGCTGTGCGTGTCCTGAGACCAAGAAAGCACGAGATGCCTGGTGAGGAAACCTTTGTCTATTTAGTTCACGCTTTAAAGTGTAAATTGCAGGTAAAAAAAAATCACGAAGATAATGCAATGTGCTTACTAAACATAAAGATAAGAACCGTCCACCATTGTTTTTTTATGTTTTTTATACCAAAATGCTGAATATAATATGAAAAGTTGGTACGTTTTACAGTGCTTTTAAGCACGCCCCCTCCCTTCCACTAGTTGGGCGTGACGTCATAAAAGGTACTCCAAGCTTTGCCTTTTACTGTCTATGCTACAAGCCTAGAGTTACGTTATATTGGAGACCTAGCTTGCAAAAATGGTTAACTATTGTGTTTGTGCGGGATGTACGAAAACATCAAAAACGGGGGAGAGGCTCCACAAGTTACCCAAGGACAAACGGCTGATTCGTGCCTGTAAGTGTTAGCATAACTTACCCGAGGTAGAGCTTAGATCGGGCCCAAAAAAATCAAGCAAGACCCTACCCGAGCCCGCTGTGTCCGAGCCCGGTCCGGCCCTGCCCGTCACATTAACTGTAATTATGAGCCCGAGCCCGGTTCAAACCCGACTATTTTTTAATACGTGGGTCGTTATAACTGACGTTCTCAACTACTTTGTATATTACTTTCTCCCGCCCGCAACATGTATGTTTTGTCCCGCTCCCGCCCACAAAAAGACTTTTTTTCTGTACCTCCAAATACTTTCACGTTAGCCTACGTGTCGCCACCATACACATCAGCATAAATGCTCCTGATAAATTATTCGTTATAAAGCATTAACACACAAACCACTGTTATAACATAAAAGCAAGCAGCTACTGCGTGCATGGTTTGGCATGTCTGATGCACGCTCCCATAATAATTCCTAAAAAGCTGACATCAGTTCATTGCGATCTCACACATCTGTTATTATCAATGAAGCTTTCATAATATATACACTATGTTTGTTATAATTAGAGGATTTGCCAGCATACAGAATTCATCACTGAACAAAAAGTCCGTTTTGAGCGGTGAGGGGAGTCCATCGTAAATGCTTCTGATTGGTCATTATTGCGTTCAAGAAATCAACACATATGGCCATCCTTAAAAATATATTTTGGTTTGCAGTAACAGCAAAAAAAAAAAAAAAAAGGTCTCTATTTTTTTTTTCAAGATTCAATGTAAAAAAAAAAAGGATAATTTTGGTCATGGTGATTACGTCGGTATGAATTTAAACAAATTTGCATATGGTGACGTCACTGACTGGGTCTTCAACCCATGCCTTCGGGCGCACCATTGCGAACCTCATTCTGATACAGGTTATAGACCACAAACAATTTGAAATCTTTGTCAAAAAAATCATATTTATTGCATTAATTCCAGCTGCATTAATTTGGAAAAAAAATAGGCAGAATCAAAAAAAAAAAAAGAGCCACTAGATTTCAATGAAAGTGGATTTTCAGAGGGAAACAAATAAATTAAAATGACTAATCTCACCAGCGCCGCGCCGACCAATAAAACAGCGCGTTTGGCACCATTCGTTTACATTTGACCCATATTGTTACAAGCCCCCTTTCTGGTCTAGGGGCAGGAAAGGAGGGTAACAAAAAGTTGCAGGGAGAGAGTGAGAGATTTGACCCATAAACATCTGCTATTATTAACGGAAATCAGTGAGGTCAAATGGCTAGGCGCATTGTAGGAAACTATAGGCCTATTAAGTAGTCCTGACATATTATGGAATGGTCGATTTTCTTTAGTGCAATTTAGTACATTTCGGTATGGGATGTGCTGTTTTATTGGTCAGCGCGGCGCTGGTGAGATTAGTTTGCGCCGCTCTGACAATCGGCTGGCGCAAGCAAACACTTCTCCCTGCGCTGTCGAGTCTGTCGCGGCTCGGTCCATTGAGCCACGCAGATTACAAGTCAGCGCAGCGCGAACTCTGTAACACACCGCGCCGTTTCATCCCCCTTTCGGTGTGTTTGGCTTCCCATACTTGTGTGTGTTTGTTTGTCAGAGCCTGCAGTTGCTGTGTGACGCGCGTTCACGGTGGGCATATCGTGACGAGCTGGACGCGCTCCGAGAAAAGGCCGTTAACATCGATTCCCTATTCTCCTATTCCATATTTGACCATTAAGAATTTCGAATAATGAGCGACTAAATGTAGGCTCATACAGACGTATTTCACAAGCAGCCGCGCCGCAGCCATCATCACCGAGCGCGAACCATTGACCGTGAATGAAACGAAGCGAACGCACAGGCCATAGTGTGACATGCGTAAACCAATGGTGTAAACATAATCATAATAGATGACGCCACGGGTTTTTATTTAAAAGAAAGAACATAGCCTACGCAATTTATATTCACAATACTTACTATAATAAATGTATATTATTTTATTGCATTTGTATTAGTTGTTTGAAGAGTAAAAAAAAAATCGGTCGGTCTTAATGCAAGTTTACAACCGGCAAGTCGGTCGGACTAAAAGGGAAAAAAAATAAATAATTGGGTCGGTCCTAATTTGACAGGGTCGGTCGGGTTACGGCAAACAAGAATATTTTTAAGGATGGCCTATGTCTGTGATTGGCTACATCGCCCAACGCTGCAAACATGTTAGAAATAGAAACTCTGCCTGTAAATCGTTTCTATTTTGTTTTAGTTGTTCTTATTGCTTTTCTGAAACAGATGAATACAAATGTATTAGTTTTTATGTTTTATTCATAGATATTTCTAGTTTGCGGGAGTCCCGCGAATCGTTTTATTCTCCCACATCCGGCACACACAGAGTGAGTGCATTACCGCCCGCGCTCCCTTTTATGACGTCATCACCCAGTTACGGTAAAAACATGCTACCTTTGAAGAAACCCCAATAAATGTTATTTTAAGGCATTTTAAGACGGAAATTTTTAAATGTATACATATTAAGCACTTTAATTTGCACATTAATTGGTTGTGGTGGTTAACCTGCAATTTACACTTTAAAGGGATATTGCACAATACAAATTAAATGCTGTTGTCATCATTTTTCTCATGTTGTCCCAAACCTGCATGACCTTTTTTTGTGAAGCACAAATTGAGAGAAATAGGATTGTGCTGCTCAGTAAATACATTACAGAAAATAGGTTTTCAAATTTAGAAAAGGATGCAAATCACCATAAAAGTAGTCGATATTGCTTGTACACTACTTTGAGTACTGATGAACTAGTACCTTGTATTGTGGCAGATGCAATTCTTAATGTCTCCTTGTGCGTGAACATCAAACCGGTTTAGTGCAACATGAGGGTTGGTAAATAATGACCGAATTTATATTTTAGGTAAGCCAATCCTGTGCATTTAAGCAAGATACTGTGCAGCTATGACATTTTATTGTCTTCACTGCAGCATAATTGAAAAAGGAGAAGAATGCTGCACAGGTCTCATCGAAGCACACAAGGAGTGCATGAGGGCGCTTGGTTTTAAGATATAATACCACCATCATGTTCAAATTGAGTGAATGGTAAGTTTATTTTCACTGTCTCTTACGAAGAAGTGATATTTCTTACATACATTTTTTTCCACATTTTGGCCACCACAACCTTAAATCTTGTTAATGCAATTTTCAGATATCTCTGTGCTCTGCAAATTGAAAAGGGTTTGTTCACCCCCAAATGATCTTTGTGTAGAATGTCTTCTACGTCACTTTCTTCAGTGGAATTATTTATAGCACATTGTCAAAGCTGTTCTCTTCCATTCAAAAAAAGTGAATGGTGACCACAGCTGTCAAGATAGACTAAGGAAATGCACAAAGCTATTATATGGCTTCAGAAGACTCTGAATATAGTGCAAAACTCATAATACTATATATATTTTTTTTATATATGGCTTTTTTGGAACTCGACAGCCTGGTCCTCATGTCTTTGTTTGACAGCAGCTCTGATATTCTGCTAAACTTATCCTTTGGTCTTCCATTGAAGGGAGTAAATAATGACAGAATTTCCATTTTGGTGCGCTTAAATATTATTTTAAAAAAAATCTTAATTTCTGTATTTTATGTTCTTGAGGACAATTTTGTTTATTTGAAGAATGAGTTACAATATGTTTCCTAATTGTCTTTTCTTTCCCTTTGTAGTGTCAGCCTGTGTGAATTGGGACCTGGTGTGCTCATTTATTTATATTTTTACACTGGAGGGAAGATTATACAGGGTGAATTTGTTCCTCTGAGGGAAATGTTGTCCGTCTTTTCTTTCTCTTTCTTTCATATGTGCTTTACATACGTTTATGGTCAATAAAGATTCTATGCAAGACGTTAAGCCATTCTCTTGTATCTTTACTTTGTCCTTTTATTTGTATGAAATATGCATACATACTTATAACAGGGCTGACTTTTTCCTTTTTAAGCCCATTTTAAATGATTCAGTCTAATTAATATGTGTCAGATGCCTGATTTGCTTATTTTATCATATTCAATTATTGATGATGAAATATTGTCTGTTGCTTGACACCATTCAGGCCAAGCAGTTTCACACAAACAGACTCTTCCTTCAGGCTTCCTACTCGGTTGGCCTTTGAATTCCCTGTACCAGCGTTTGGCTGGTGACAGCTGCACTTAACTATGCACGCAGGCTTAAAATAGAGCTGCTGCTCCCAGCACACTCTAATCTGAGGTCTACCCGCAGAAGTGCTTTTATTCTGTGTGCACACCTGGTGTGAACCCAGCAAATGCAATTCATAATTTGCATTTTCTCCTAAAGATTTCGCACAAAGTTCATGAGCATAGATAGTTACTGACACAAACACAAGAACAGCTTGCTTATTTCACTATTCGTCCTGCTTATAATTAGATAAATCATGGTCATTTTGATGTTCAATTCATTAAATCCCAGCATAGGCACAGTATGTGCAAATGCATAATTGATATTTCTCAGATGTGAAATGTGTAAATTGGTTTATTTCAGTCATTCAAAACAGCTTTTAATGGTGCTTGACTGCAATGAGAATGTATCTGCATGCTTCTCTTGCAGGGTACATGTCAAATTGACAGCTCTGAATAGTAGCTTTGACACTCTCTTATCAACTGTATCAGCTAGTTAAGCTGCACAAGACAACCTATATATATTGACTTTCATTGTGTATTTTAGTTATGTTTTAAAAATCTACCTTTTTTTGGCAGAAACATAGAAGCTTGTTTTTGCCATGGAATAAAAAAAACACAATTGCGACGTTTATAACTCGCAATTCTGACTTTTTTTTCTTGCAATTCTGAGTTTATATCATAATTCTTCACAATTTAATTTGTAATTCTGAGCTTATATCTCACAATTCGGAGTTTCTGGCAATTCTGAGTTTAGGTCTCTCTTTTTTGTTCATTCTTAAGTTTATATCTCACAATTTGTTTTCGTAGTTCTGAGTTCATTTCACAATTCTGAGATTAATTCTCACAATTTTGACTTTTTTTCTCGCAATTCCGAGTTACGCACAAAGTCCGAATTTTTGAGATAGAAACTAGCAACTGTGAGAAAAGGTCGCAATTACTTTATTTTCTATTCCATGTCTTCCATAGTTTTATAAAAAGCAATATTCAGTACAATTCAATAAGCAAATAGCCCATGCTGTATTGTCAATATAGATAAATTCTGTGTCATGCCTTACAACAGCAATTACCACAGTAAAGTTAGTTTGCAGTTTGACATTCAGATTTTTTTTGTGTGCTATAAACACAGAGTGCATGTTTACTTTACATATAAATTATATTGCATGTCACTCTTAGCGATTTTGACAATATAGGTATCTTATTATTTAAGTAATAATAATATAAAAGAAAAAAAATCCACTCACTCCTGCACCCCATTGCTAAACCAGCAGAATAGTGTATTAAATTATCTACCAACAATCGCTGGGCCAAGTTATGTGAAACTACACACAGGAATGGCCAGGGAGGGGGAGGTAAACAGTGTTACATGATCTCCTCTGTTATTTGATCTGTCTCAGATTCTTTAAATATGCTGCCCCCCTATAGCCTAGGACCCTCCTTCCCTCAAACACCAGAAGAGATGGAATACAAGTTTACTGTTTGATTGTGAGAAAATGAGTGTTGGTGACATCTGGCAGAGCTTTCAAAGATCTTCCCAAATGTCAGTGAAAGCTTCTCTTCGTGTCACTTGTTATCGTAACCACTCTGCCCGGCCATCATTGTGTTATGTTAAGTAGCGAGTCTGCTTTCTGTCCGTGGCTCTTTCCTCCTTGGGTTTCAATTCCAAACATGGTTATCCTTCTCATGGTCTCTACCCCCGCCTCTCCTGCTCCATGTTTCCAACAGTCTTCAGTCCAGTGTGGGTCAGGGAACAGAAGCAGAGACGTTATAGTGCTGAATTTTTAAAGGAGAAGTGGGTGTCAGTGGAACGGAATTATGAAGCTTCCTTCATTCCGACTGTTTTTGGCAGTAAGTGGTGCATTGACTGTTAGAGGCTGTGGGGAACAATCTTTTTGAATCTAATATCTAGTCTTTTTAACAACCTTTTTAATACATTGGGCTTATGAAGCACTACTTTTTCCATCAAGGTATTTGATGACACTTTTTTTTTTTTAATATATATTCAGTATTCCATTGAATTGGAGACAGCAGAGGCACAAACATGAATAGTGGTGACTTTATTGACACCATAATTTACAATCACACACTCTGCAATGGATGGACCAACAGCACTGAAGGTGCCATCTACCATCTGGGTAACACCATTCTTTTTTTGGGCTATATGGGTGGTAGTACAGCATATGGGGCTCTGTACATCTTCAGTTTTTTGGCTCCCGCTTTCCTCTGTTTGGCTATGTGGGGCTGGCTGACAGTGTGCGGCCTTGATGTCTTCATCTGGAACCTGCTGCTGATGCTGCAGTGTTTGGCCCAGGTGTGTCATCTGATTTTTCGGCTGATGCAGGAAGGTTTAGCCAACGAGGAGCTTTCTGCGCTTTACACGGCGGTCTATCTGCCGCTGGATGTACCTGTGCAGGTGTTCAAGGAGATCACGGCTGCCAGCGAGAACAAAGTGCTTTCTCTAGCGACTGAGGAGACGTATGCTGTGGAGGGGAAGACGCCCATTGATCAGCTGTCTTTTCTCATTTCTGGCAGGTGAGAAACAGAATATATCAAAGAGTTGTAGACATATGGTTCTCTCTCTATTAGTGGTTGATCTTGAACTGGTCTAAACACTGTAAATATCTACTTTTTTTACCTAAAAGTGTACCAACGTCAATGTTTGTTTTAGCTCGCAATACAAGCTCAGTCGTTCAGTGTAATAAATAGCACAAAAAATATTTGTTGGGGTCAATGACATGATGTTTTTTGTCCTTCCTAATAAATAATGAAGAAAAAGCGTCATTAGTAGTATTTCGGCGTAAACTTTTATAATATAAAATATTTTAATAAAACGACTTCACTGCTTATGAAACACTTTTGTCTGCCAAATCATGTGGTGAAAAAAAAAAAAAAAACAGGAAATTATATCAGAGAGGACCCCTGCAGACCCTCATGACTGTGTCAAGGTCAATAAAGGCCCGTTCACACCAAGAACAATAACTATAAAGATAACTATAACCAACAATATTAGCATTCTGTTTGTAATAAGTGATTGCTGCAGTTATGTCATCTGCATAAATCCTCTAGTTCTGTAAAGCAGGATGGATTCTTGGCTGTCAAATGTTTTTATCATTCATCAGCTGGGGAAAAAAACATCTTGAAAGTGATTCACCAGTTACTTTCCTCTGTGCCATAGTTGAGGTTTGGACTGCTTTTCTTTTAAATGTAGAATGATTTGTATAACCATATCTTTATGGTTATAGTTATTGGTGTGAACAGGCCTTTAGTCTCTTAAAATCTCAGATAATTTGACATTTAATAACAAAGCAAGATTAGTTCAGGTTGTAAAATTTCATGGTGAAACTCCCCCAAAATGTAATAGTTATGAATTATTAATTCATATCTGTGTTGAAAATTGTTGAAAAGCATTGTCAAAAATAATGATGTGTACTCTCACATGTAAGGTTAAAATACATGTTTTTACTTTTTAGCTCATGGTTAAACCACATGACATTTTTAGATTCATTCAATTTAAAGTGACATCTTTAAATCCATATTGTTTATCTCAGTGTAATGAATTATATATATATATATAAGTAGGACTTGGTTCTATCCATCAGTTGTTGATTGGATTTTGAGATGTGGGAATTCCTCTCAAAAATAAATGTGAGCTTGCAGTCAGTTGTGGAGGGGTGGCGTATTTTTGTAGGACAACCCGGAAGTTTGCATCACACTGGTTCCCTCAACAAAAACCCAATAATATTTTTTCATTGACTTTTGGATTATTGCAGAAAATAAGGTGTGTGACTAAAAAAAGCTTATGATTCTTACACGTTTTGTTCATCATGATAATCTTCGCAAATAAACACAACTTTTCTTAAAAAAGCTTTTAAAAAAAGCACCAGAGGGTATTAGGCTACTGATGTATTTTATGTCGTAGAATAAAATGTGAAAATATGTTGAGCTTGTGTTCATCACAGACCTTATTTCAGGCATTTAACCAAAAACCCATTAAAAAAACCCATTGACTTCAAGACTATGGAACCGGAAGAGGTAAAATGTGAACTTGTTTCTGGGTTTTAGCCTACAAAACATACGTCATCCCTGCACCACTCTATGATTGGAGAAAATCTGGCACACGTCACCAGAGAGAAGTCTGTCGTTTCAACGGAAGGTTCAGTTATGCCATTTTGATTAAACATTAAAGGGTCAAAACATTTTAAAAAATGAAACATACGCATGGATGAACCCTTCACAATAAGATCAATAACATGCATTTATAAAATAGGCAAATTTTCATTTCATGCTGACTTTAAGCTTATTCAAAACCATATGAAACCAACATTAATACAAAAAGGACACTTCTAAGAACGTGCCATACGTGTTTCTGCTTTTACAGGATTAGAGTGTCCTTAGAAGGTCAGTTTCTCCATTACATCTTTCCTCACCAATTTCTTGACTCTCCTGAATGGGAGTCTCTAAGACCAACAGAGGAGGGCAACTTCCAGGTATGAAAACATACTGGTTGCTTGGGTACATCATGGCAACATCTTTTAGTCAGTGTCATTTTGCAAAATTATTCAGTTCATGCAACCATGAAACATGGCTTGCCCTTAAACATCCCATGACCCTTTTTACCTCAGGTGACACTAACCGCAGAGACTGACTGCCGTTACATCTCTTGGCGCAGACGTCGGCTTTACCTTCTGCTGTCTAAGGATCGTTACATTGCTCGACTTTTCTCTGTCATGCTCGGAAGTGATATTGCTGACAAACTGTATTCTCTCAATGATAAACTGTTTGCCAAGAGCGGTGTGCGCCTTGATATTCGTCTGCCCAGTCTCTACCACGTCCTCGCCCCCTCGTCACAGGGCAGTGAGGGTGGCAGCACTAGCTCACCGCCCAGGGGAAGCCAAGGAGATCCTACAGTCGTGAAGGTTGATCCAGCACCGTCTAACCAGCGCTCAGATGGAAGAAACTTCCATCCGGACCAGGGAAAGACCCCTGTGCCCAAACCTCCACACCAGCTCTGGCCCTCAGACACAGAGATGCCCTCTGGTGAGGACTCAACCAGCTTGGTTCTGGACGACTTTGCTGATATGACAGGCTCTCTAATGGATTACGGGAGTGAGAGGGAATATTTGAAGTAAAGATTGGGGTTTTGAAGCATAACACACTGGAACACTTCTTAAATCACAATGTAAGTACACAAGTAAGGATTGACGGGTGGGTCGGTATAGACGGGGCTGGTTTGCATGAAGAGGCACAACTGCACTAACTGGACTTTTGAGCTGCACAAACACTGAGTGATTAAGAGAATGCAGAGTGATGAATGTGCATGATGAATTGTTATATTTTGTGCTCTTTTTAGACCTGGATTATATTTATGTCTTTAGTGTCATCTGCTGAATTCATATGGAAGGAAGGCCCATAGTTCATTCATATATAGTGATTATTATATTACATTGAAAATTGAAAGACGTCTTCAAAGGTTAAAAAGTTAATGGTTTTTCCTTTAAAATTTATTTATCTTATTATTATATTGATAATACTATTAATTTAAAATTTAATTATAATAAAAAAAAATTAAAAGATGACATCTAGTCGAGAAGACTAGTAATAATATTCACATTAATCAGATATTGGTTGTGTCCAAAATCACCCCTATACCCTCATATCAATATCAAATTTATTTCTAAAACACAGTTCCGTGGGATTGAATGTGAGATTGAATAAGTGCACTCAATAACGTCCACAATGGTTTCGGACACCCAAATGGCTGTTATTCCCTCAAATAGTGCCCTATTTAAAGTTTTTTGGCTTTTAGCATGAATATGTTAGCCTTACTGTTATCTGTAAGCTAGTGTGCTTCAAAACAATGATAAAGTTCGCATTTAGAAGACCAAACCAAACATTGAAAATGAAAATCAGGTTGATGTCAGAATCCAACGCCAGATTGATGTCAATCTCCAACGTTGGACAGACGCTGTATTGTGGTTGAAAATGAAAATCGGGTTGACGTCAGAAATCAACATCAGTCGGGTTCTGACGACAACCCGACTTTCATTTCCAACTAAAATCTAACGTGTCCGACGTTGGATGTTGACGTCAACCCGACTTTCATTTTCAACCAAAATGCAACCCCTGCAACCAAACTGACGTTACTACTTTCTACTCAAGGACGTTGACAGAAATGCAGTGGAGTAAAAATTACGATATTTGTCTTTCAAATGTAGTGAAGGTAAAGTAAAAAGTTTCCAGAAAAAATATTCAAAAGGTGTTCTTAAGTCCACCTCTGATTACTATTAATTTATGATTTAATTCAAATGAATCATATTTGATTATTTTTACATTCATTTTGCAGTGTAGGCTTTGGGTTACTCTTTAATAATTACAGTGTGTTTAACTTTTCATTGTTTTACCACAAAGAAAGTCTATGGTATGTCCTAATTTAACATGTGTGTCCTTTCTGGCAGAGGAAAGGCTCCCTTTGGTGAGAGATGTGTTTTATTTAGTATAGGGTAGTGGAGTTATATTCAGTGTTTCCTTCTTAGAATATTTTGTGTTAGATGTTTCTATGCCTAGAGTGAGGCTGGCTTTATTTGACATACACTTGTGCCGCCGGAGGCTGAATGAAAGACTGGAAGGGGTTTGGGATATCCAGGGATCCAAACATGCCAAGTCTGTTCATCCAGCAATCCAGCACTCCTCCCTCTTCAAATACTTGGCTTTGCCTGCAAGGGGCAGATTGCACTTTGTAGGGTACTGGATAGTGGGACAGGTGTGGGAGGAGGAGAGTTCCGCTGTCATTTGAGACATGACCTTCACATGCTAGTTTCCAAAGGAATGAGGTATATGGATCATGTCCAGAAATACAGCCTGTCCTACCGAAACTAATGTGAGAACTACACCGATGGATAAAATCATGTCTTTAAATGTGATTATGTTGTGCTGAATTGTGGAATTTATTTCAGTGTTCTCAATGACATTTTGATATGCAATCTTTTTCCATAAATCTAACAGAGGATGATACTCCAGGAAGTCTTCCACTTCGTTTCCAAAGAGGACGTGCCCCACTGGCCCCTACTGACACCCCAAAGCTATAGGAATGGTTTCAGCAGTATAAAGACCATAACATCTGAACGATTTCTCCATTAAATCACCATCATAGCGGTTTACTTTTATATGATTGAAGACAACATTAGCACAGAACAGTAAAAGATCCATCAAATGTACTTTTGTTTAGGACAAAACAGAATCACAAACCTTTTTTTTTTCAGACAGATACTGTGTTATATATGATTCCACATCGCTGTGATTTCAACATGGCTGTTTTATATTTATTAGAAATGGCATGTGCTTGTTGGTTAAATCTGTTTCGAATACTGTACAGGATTTGTAAGTTAAAAGCAACAAATTAGTCTTTTCAACACAAACAAATCAATTTTTATTTAACTTAAACACCTCAGAGTTTATTGATAATAGGTAGATAATGAGATTTATTACAAAAGTGTGTGCTTTATCATAATAGGAATTTAGTAAACACTTCATCATCATGTACTGAGACTGTATACTGACCACGTTATGAAAATGTATTTTCATGGGGCCAACTGTTAAAAACGTGACTTGATATTCCTCTTAAGACGCCATTTCAAAGCAGAGATTAGCCTTATTACTAATTGTGAATGGACAGATACTAATTTGTAATATCAAGTATGCAGTGTGCAGTTATAAACACTAATCAGAGTGCCAAAATATTGAATTTTTGTACCTTGAATATACATTTTTAATAATTGAAAATGAACCAGTACGTTCAGCACATATATTAACACATAAAATAACTGATGTATGTTGAATGACCGACTTTCATAATTCACAATATTTTTGTTGTTGATTGTTGTCTAACAAAACACAACACAGAAATTCAGGTACGTTAAATTCCTCTCGATTGAAATCTCATTATAACACTCTCTGGAACAGTGAACATAAAAACAAAAGTATCTGAAATCATACTTTTTTTGTGTGTGAAAACAATCATTTTGTGAAAACACAATAAATATATCTAACAAAGCATTTCAGTCCCCTTGTATCCTATTTATGTCTTTGTCGCCAAGCTTTAATGTCTCCTAACCTAAACATGCTAAAAAAGTTTTAGTGTGTGACCTTCGCTTGAAAGCTGGTTAATCTATAAGCTCTCAAGTAGATTGTGTGTTGTTTTATTAATTTAGCACACTTGTACAAAGTCGTGTGACCATGTTATTCCCCGTCCAATATTAATGTTCTTCACACATAATGGATCCAACCCTCTGCACACAGAGCACAAATACAATATTATTAAATACAGTATTACATTGGAAGTGCACATTTGATGTCTAAATCAATATATTTTGTAATTCCTGAAATGAGTGTGCAGAAAGAGTAAAGCAAGTTTAAAGGCAAATATTAAGGCTGCATTTACCTGGTGTGAGGGACTTCAGAGATGCATATATACTCAAAATGAATGTCTCCTTGTCTGTAGAATCGTGCTCCTGTGTTTTTCAGCTGCACTGAGTCAATTTTACACAGTCGCTCTGGGTGTGCAGCCACCTTTTTATACGCAGTTTCATCTGTATTTCTGAAAAATAGTGTACAAACATATTCACACACATGTTTTAAACAGTTAAAGGGCTGAACCTGTAATAAATGAACACAGGCTATGGCTCATTGATCATGACTTGCTGGTAAAACTCGAAATGGAATACACACAGTTTGAGTTTTAGCTCTGTCTCAGGGTGTCCTGTAGAGATCAGGGTGAGCTGAACCTCAGCAGTCTTGTCTAATGGGGAAACCTTCAAATCCATAAGGATGTGATGCGCTGAAAAAGATTATGGGCATGTGTCATTGACATAACACTTCATTTATTTACTGTTACATATGGCTGTATAGTTTCTATTGATTTCACTAAGCCTGTAGAGACTTACAGTCTTACTTTTTATTTTTTGGTGACTATATTCTACCATTCAAAAGTTTTTGAAAGAAATGCTAACCAAGGCTTGTTTTATTTGATCAAAAATAAATTTAAATATATTTTCAAATGTAATAATGTAATTTATTCCTGTGATGGCAAAGCTGAATTTTCAGCCTCATTACTTCAGTCTTCAGTGTCACATGATCCTTCAGAAATCATTCTGATATGCTGGTTTTCTGCTCACGAAATCTTCTTATTATCAATGTTGAAAATAGTTGAAACCATGATCTATTTTTTCAGGATTATTTGTAGAATAGAAAGTTCAAAAGAACAGCATTTATTTGAAGTCTTTACTGTCACTTTTTTGTATTTAATGTATCCATACTGAAAAGTATTAATTACTGACCCCAAACTTTGGTGTAGGTAGTGTAGGTGTTTAAAAAGTACACAACAGGATGAGTTAATATGAAAGACTGTATAATTAAAACATAAATCAAGGTGTTAATACATGCAGTATCTGAGAGACATACCACAATACGGCGCCGTAGCGGTGGTCAGGAGATAGACCTTCTCTTGATCTGGCAGTGGAGTAGCTGTTATCCCACTGTTCTTTAACAAGCCTAAAATACACACACATATAGAAACAGTCACACTCGGAGAGCAATTGTGCAAAGGCATGTGTCGTACATTACATGAAACAATTTGATCCTTTTGTTACATAATCAGCCTCAAGTGAAACATTTTCAGCAGTTGGAGTCACTCATGCACACAAAGAAAAAGTCAAGCCTGATTAAACACCTAAATGAACTAGAACATCAAGGTCATTACCATCCAAAATTAGATTAGCATGCAACCCCCCTCAGAATTATTATTCACATTTTCACTAATTGAGGACATGAGTGTGAACCATGGCCATCCTCCTTATGAAGACATCTCACCATTCAGCACAGAGTCTTTGAACTACAGAAATGTTTGCGCATCAAGGTTATTTTAGTAAGAAAATGTACAATGTTGATTTCATCAAATTCAAAGGCTACAGATTTTTTTCAAATTTTTAAATATAATTTGTGTTCACAAACAGACTTAAATATTTTAAAATATTACCTATTTGTGGGCATGTGCCATTGAAGGGTCCCTCACAGGTGATGCATTTTCCTGACAGGAATTCCTCATAACTGGAGCAGGGGAAACCAACAAGCAGACAGGAGCCGTTCAGGGCGCTCATGTAGACATGCAGTGCCCTCATGTGGTCACAAATGACATAGCCATACACTGGAAAGTAGATAAAAACTGACAAACATAGACAGATTCTCAGGTAGCATGAAGCTACGGTACATTTTTAAGCTTAATGCCTCTGTTAGTGTTTGGTCAGCTTTCGCGGTCTACTTACTTGAAGCAAACCTTGAGCGTGCGCAACCGGCTTGGTCCATTCCACCATTTAAGAAGAAGTCCACATGTCCGACGGGAATGGATATTCCAAAGTCTAGCAAATGTACACATTTTCAGTTCAGTTGTGTTATAGGCTACTTCTGTATTAAAAAATAGCACCAGTGGCATACTTATATGAACTCTTGTAGTTTAGTTATAAATCAAGAAAATGTC